CCGCGTCCGCGTGTCCGTGTGAGTGTGTCACTGTCACCGTGTCACTGGCACCGTGTCACCGTCACTGTGTCACCGTCAGTGTGTCACTGTCACTGTGTCACCGTCACTGTGTCATTGTCACCGTGTCACTGTCACTATGTCACCGTCAGTGTGTCACTGTCACCGTGTCACCGTCACCGTGTCACCGTGTGTCGCTGTCACTGTGTCACCGTCAGTGTGTCACTGTCACCGTGTCACCGTCACCGTGTCACACTGTGTCACTGACCGTGAGTGTGTCGCTGTCACTGTGTCACCGTCAGTGTCACTGTGTCACTGTGTCACTGTCACTGTGTCACTGTTACTGTCACTGTGTCACCGTGTCACCGGCACCGTGTCACCGTCAGTGTGTCACCGTCACCGTGTCACCGTCACCGTGTCACTGTGTGTCACTGTCACCGTGTCACTGTCACCGTGTCACCGTCACTGTGTCACCGTCAGTGTGTCACTGTCACTGTGTCACTGTCACCGTGTCACCGTCACCATGTCACCGTCACTGTGTCACCGTCAGTGTCACTGTGTCACTGTGTCACCATCACTGTGTCACCGTCACTGTCACCGCCACTGTGTCACCGTCACTGTATCACCGTCAGTGTGTCACCGTCACCGTGTCACCGTGAGTGTCACTGTGTCAGTCTGTCACCGTCACTGTGTCACCGTCAGTGTGTCACTGTCACCGTGTCATCGTCACCGTGTCACACCAGCACTGTGTCTGTCACCGTCACCGTGTCACCATCACTGTGTCATCATCACTGTATCACCGTCACTGTGTCACCATCACCGTGTCACTGTCAGTGTGTCACTGTCACCGTGTCATCGTCACCGTGTCACCGGCACTGTGTCACCGTCACCGTGTCACCGTGTCATCATGTCACTGTCACCGTGTCACCGTCACCGTGTCACCAGCACTGTGTCACCGTCACTGTGTCATTGTCACCGTGTCACTATCACCGTGTCACTGTCACTGTGTCACCGCCACTGTGTCACCGTCACGGTGTCACTGTCACTGTCACCGTCAGTGTCACTATGTCACCGTCACTGCGTCACCGCCACTGTGTCACCGTCACCGTGTTACCGTCACTGTGTCACTGTCACTGGGCCACTGTCAATGTGTCACTGTGTCACTGTCACCGTCACCGTGTCACTGTGAGTGTCACTGTGTCATTGTCACCGTGTCACCGTCATTGTGTCACCATCACTGGGTCATTGTCATTGTGTCACTGTCACTGTCACCGTGTCATTGTCACTGTGTCACCAGCAGTGTGTCACTGTCACCGTGTCACTGTCACCATGTCACTGTTACTGTCACCGTGTCACTGTCACTGTGTCACCATCACTGGGTCATTGTCATTGTGTCACTGTGCCAGTGTCACCGTCACTGTGTCACCATCGCCACCCCATCAGTGCCACCATCATTGTCACCCCCGTGTCACCCCCACCGCTGTCACTGTCACCTGTCCCTGTCACCTGTCCCTGTCACCTGTCACTGTCCCTGTCACCATCACTGTCACCTGTCACCGTCCCTGTCACCTGTCCCTGTCACCTGCCCCTGTCACCGTCACTGTCACCTGTCCCTGCCACCGTCACTGTCACCTGTCCC